CTTCTCCAAAGAAACGCCGCTTTATTCTTGAATCTGACAGTGAGTGACTTTAACCCTTTTGAAAATAAAAAGTTAAAGAAATGATGTTTAATTTCTTTAACAGAATTTTTGATATGACAAGAACATTTAGAGAGACTTTGTATTTCAGTTGTCATGACCGGTGATTCAAAGTTATGCAAGTTAAGCTTACATTCTATCATACAGTGTATTGTTGAAATTGTTTATTAAAATTTTTGTGAGATTTTCATTAAAACTCTCGTCATATATATTATAAACAAATTATTTCATGGAAAGTGCTTTGTACGTGATTTTATTCACTTGTTGTTTGTATCATAAACTCACTCGCTCGTTTGTTTGATGATACAAACAACTCGTGAATAAAATCCCGTACGTCGCACTTTCCATGAAATAACCTATATATCTAACATCTATATTCAAGTTTGTAAATATATATATAGAGGATATTACATGGGCGCGCGGAGATACGAATTTTATCTTTTCATGTTTCTTCCTTAGTTTCGGTTTTATGATTTGTACAGAGCTTGATTTTCGTCATTTTTCTTCCCAAATTGAACAAACGCATGTCATTCCGGAGTGATTATCTCAAAAACAAGCTCAGGACACCCCATTTTTCTTTGCATTTTTGAAATCAGCATTAAATTTCAGGTCAAAACAGTTTCAATTTTCAAATTTCTGTGTATTATTTACCAAAGTAGTCAGCCACCTTGATAATGATAATTTAACTTGAAATCCAGATCATTATCAAAAACTACAACTAAATTCCCAGAATTAGAGGAAGGCTTAATCATTTGATCACCATATTGAATGGAACCTTAAACAGTCCTGACTAGGATTATAAGGAAAGTAAGTTGGAAATTAGTCTTGCCCCAGTGACCTGCAGGTACCATGAAAGTGTACAGTTAGAAAATATGTGTACTGATCCAAAACATTTTTTGCCTGGTATTTTGTGAAATGAAAAACTCGAGGAATAAATCAAAAAGAGTTAAAATAAATAAATATCAAATAAACAGTAGTCATCATTAGACTAAGACAGTATATGAAAACCCATGCATTTTTTGTCTTTGTCTTTTATTGCACTGYGTACATTATTCATATACCGTACATATTTTTCCTATTTGTTATCATGCAGGGACGATTTACGATGGCTGCAAAACACCACATCAACATAGCAGAAATCTATGAAAGCAATGTTGTAGATTTAGAAAAGGTAAATGTTTTCTACTCATCATAATTAAAAAATTAAAACAAAAAACAAAAAACAGTACAATGCATGTACCAACTGGGCTGTACATGTAGCTATTTACATTTATTCTACTTTCTATTTTTTTCGTATTGTATAGAACGGTCTGAACGGTTTCCATTTTTTATTGATTAGCAGAAAATTATTTTGCAGTCTAGCATTTTATTATTTTATTTTATTTTTTATTTTTATTTTTTTAATTATTTCCCTTTTTGTAGGCAATATATCATTATGAACAAGCAGCTGATTACTACCGAGGGGAAGAGTCTACCAGGTGATTGATTGTAAATTATTCACTGAGAAATTGTTTCTTTATATAGATCATTTAATTTAGTCTGTATATTTTAGATCCTTGCCTCTGGGTTGCCATTTATAAATACCCGTACAGATTGGCTGTTTATATTGTGTATATTACTAATTTTAATCTGGATTTTTTTTTACTGTTGCAATAGCATCACTTTACAAGGAGGGAGGATAACCGTACCAGGAGGGGTACCCTAGTAATAGTGCTACCCTCTAGCTTCTACAAGGTTCCTCAATTATTTTTAACGCCTTTACAAGCAAAAGGCTATTACCAAAGCTTGTAAAAGTATCATAATTCCTAATGCCCTTTTATTGGCCAAACTTCGAGCACATGGCATAGGAGATAGCAGTATCAATCTCCTGAAGAGGTACCTTTCTGGTAGATTAGGGACTTGTCATTATTTATAGGGAAGGGGCTGGTGCATCAGTGAGTATGCCACTTGTGTTTTTTCCTGACCCACCCTTTTCGTCATGCACAATTTGTTCTGACCCCCCCTCCCCCCACCTATAAATAATACTGAAACAGATGATTATAGCAAACATGATGATAGCAAAGATGATAACAACAGTGACATAACAACATTCTCACTATAACACTATTATCAAACAAAAGATAATAGTCATAAATCGGTAATATACACATCTAACGAGAAAAAAGAAAAAAATAGAAATTTACAAAGATGCAACTACATATAGAAGAGAATAGGTCATCCTAATAGCAGAAAACTATAATAGAGAGGATGACCTAACTTTACAACGATAAAAGATAAATTAAAATTTTAAATTAAAATTGGCCTTAAGGACTTTTAATATTGCACAATGAAAGCTTATCGATTTGTAAAGTAAGACCAAAACACTAATAAAGTTGTATAATGTAAGAATTCACAATATGCTTATTTTAGTTTTCAAGAGCTTGATTGTTTCTTTTTATCCAAAATACTTGATTGAACTGTTTAACCTCCAAAATACTATTTATGAGCTGAAAGGAAGCACAGGAACTGCGACCCGGGTTCGAGTCCTGCCGGGCTTGGTGTTGTATGTGAGTAGAGCTGTGTGTTGGTTCTCTCCTGTCATTTAAAATTTTTTCTCCGATCTCTCCAGTTTTTCTCTGTCCACAAAAATCAACTTTCAAATTCTATTTCAATCGGTTGTCTCGTAATTGGGTCCTAGGCCTAATATTTTATAAAGAACAGGAATAGCTGTTTATTCTAAACGAGTTTCAGATGAAATCTTTGAATTCAAAATAGTTGAAAATGAACCTTTGGTTTTATCTGCAGTAACTATTTACATTTTTTATAAGCAAGCTAAGTAAGCTCCGCTTTTAGGCAGTGCCTGAATTTTTATATTAACTTTTGACAGCTCTTCAAATAAATGTGCTCTCAAAGTGGCAATGTACAGTGCTCAAATGGAAAACTATCCCAAAGCCATTGAAATTTATGAACAGGTATTACTTGGAAAATGCAAAGTGACTGTCATAATTGTTTCTTGCAATATTTTAGGGGGGAGAGGGGGGAATCCAGTACCGGATGGCTCAGTTGGTTGAGCATCGGACTTCCGCGAGGGAGGTCATGGTTCGAGTCCAAGCCGGGCCGACACTCGGGGTCTTAAAATAACTGAGGAGAAAGGGTTGCCTTTTAATTGCATCTGCAAAGCAAATGGTTAGACTTTCAAGKGGCTCGGAATACCACTTTGATCCACACTTCATCATTAACCAATATCGGAGGGACGTAAAATAACCACTGAGGACGTAACGAAACCCTGGCAGTGCCATACAAACCAATTCTCGTGCTTGAAAATTGCATTAAAAGGAATTTGAAATTCACAACTCAATGGAAACGCGCCTTTGATTATATCAAGAGAAAATGAATTTATATATATATATATATATATATGTATGTATATCATAAATCATTATCATTATCACTTTTTTTGTCATAGGTTGCTGCCAATGCTATTGAAAGCTCAATTCTAAAGTACAGTGCCAAGGAATACTTTTTTAAGGGAGCATTATGTCACATGTGTGTAGATGTGCTAGAGGCTCAGCGGGCAGTGGAAAAGTATTGTGACATGCATGCTGCCTTTCAGGACTCAAGAGAGTGCAAACTTTTGAAGGTTTGTGATAGCATTGTATTAATATTAATACAGCATTTTTCACAAATCTAGGAAATGATTATATTTAGTAAAAATACACAGGTGATTATTGCTGAAAATCTCGTGCGCTGATTGGTCAAGGATCTCACACTAGCGCACGATAATCCAAAATGGCGGCCAGCCGCTTTGTTGCTGTTACCGGGAAAAAGTGTCTTTTTCTTTTTCTTTTTCTTTTTTTCTTTTTTTTAAAGAATCACCTGTGTATTTATACTAGAACAATTATTTGCCCCAGCCTTCGCCGCTCGAAGACTCGCGCCCCGTTAAATATCCCCCGCTATTCACTTCGCCTTCGGCGAATAATCGTTTAACATTTGTAAAGTTTCTTCTATAATAATATTTTTTTCTTTTCTTGCCATTGAAAAAGAAAAAAAGTAGTTGCCATTATGTCCTGTTATTTGTGTGTGTTTATGATATTTGTACTTCCTCTGGCAATTAAGGCTGGTGCCAACTATTGTCAGCGCGCACACTAACTGCGCATCTGCATCTAGGGTTTCCCGCGGGTTTCAAAAGCAAAACACTCAAAGGTACAAAAAACGTCGGCCTTAGAAAAAATTAAGACCAAGAACAACAGCAATAACTATTATTTATGTAGTCAAAGGTGTATCACAGAGTAATTTTCAAGAATTCAGGTGTTTTTGGCGAAAAATCATATGTTTTTACTTTCTAGAAAAGGCAGTTTCGATGGCCTCGGATCGGTGAATAATAAAATAACTTTTTCAATATTTCCATACAGATAAGCTTAGTTTGTTTTAAAGTTAAATAAAAATTGAAAAGGAATTACACATTACACCAAATATCAGCCATTCATTTATCTTTTCCTGCGAGTACAATTACATAAAATAAACTTTTGTCGTTGGAAGACCTCGTATTTACATAAGCTGTCTTTCACTCACTCAAAAAGTAAATTCAAAAACGTTCACGCAAAGAGCATATTGACAAAGAAAATTATTATTTTGATTTATTAATCTGTCTCTTGCACTTGTGAAGTCAAACTAAATGTAGGTTTGTATTTTACGAAAGTTTTTGCCTGGTTCTTGCTTTGCATGCACGACTGCCGTGAAAGATTCATGAAAAGCCGTTCTTTTTCCGACTTCAAAAAAAAATTTACATACCATACTTAAGGAAATCTTTTCTTCTACACAGGAAAAAATTATTTTTTATTATTCTTCGAATTGAATAAGTTTTGTGGTACTTTGAAAGCTTGAAATATCGCTTTTTTTTTCAGTTTTCCTCCTGCTTGTAAAACCACGAAGAGATGAACGAGCTGCTGCAAACACACCAAAAACAGAGCGAGTCAAGCTGTTTCGTAACGCCGCGTCACGCTTGTCACGCTTTTAGCACCCGATTTATCCTCAAAAACATATTTTTAAGAACCATAACTTTTTAAAACGCGTGGATACCCCCCATTTTTTTTCGTCCAAAATGTAACAGAAATAGTTGAATTATTTTTTATAATAGAATTTACATGATACATAAAAGTTTATATATTTGATATAGAGAGCAAAAATAGTCGTTTATTTGAAACAAGTTTCAGATAAAATCGATCAAAACAACTTCGTAATATGATTTTTTTTCCCTTGCGTAAAAAACTGCTTACGTCATCGGTGTTTAACATCAATTATCTCGCTTGGATGCGTGGGTCCCCCCAATTTTTTTTTCGGATTCCAGTGGCCTCTTGGGTGATTTAAATGACTGGCACAATTTGAAAAAAATAAAAATGGTTCGCAATTAGTAGGCACCAACCTTAACTAGAAAGCATAAGCTACTTTAATCGCCCTACACTTTTATTACCTAAAAAAAATATAATTTCCCTTATTTGTATTACAATATGTATTTGTATATTATATCCTGTAAATATATAACTGTATATAAAAAAGTGTAAGCAAAACAAGTTGAAGTTGAAGTTGAAAATTCATGAATAATTAATGAGGGTCTAAGCCATCCAGCTTTAGAAATCAGGACACATGAATATCATGTAAACCCGATACAAACCTTCAATGAAAATGCTAATTAGATACAACCACTGGTGGATGTATACTGTTCTGATAAAGCACTAGAGTGGTTGTATCTAATTAGCATATGAATTCAAACTGTCCCAAAGGAATTATGAATTATTCACGGATTTCACAAGTTGTTTACAACATTYGCGTCCGTGTTGTCCGGCCATTGTAAAATTCATGAATAATTAATGACGTTCTAAGCCAATCCAGTTTCAGAAATCAGGTCACATGAATTACATGTAAGCCCGATACAAACCTTACGATGAAAATGCTAATTAGATATATACAACCACTAATGGATGTATACTGTTCTGATACAGCACTAATGAATTATTCACGAATTATTCATGAATTATTTGTATAAATGTATACTACAACGTTTCTGCAATCGAGTGTGTATATATATATATACACCACATCGCTAAAACTTTGTCAATTTAGCGATATATATACATATATATGTATCCCCTTTTTCCTATTGTCTTTCCTTGAAAATACAGGTAAGACAATAGAAAAAAGAGGAACACACATATATGTATATATATCGTTAAAGTGTCAAAGTTTTAGCGATTCGGTGTATATATATATATATATATATATATATACACACTCGATTGCAGAAACGTTGTAGTATACATTTATACATTTATACAA